AAGGCGGCCAGCCCTGTCCCGCCCTTTGCCCTCACCCGTCCCTGCAAGCCCCATAGGGGCTAGGATGTGCGTAGCAATACCGGAGCCAAAGGGCTATATAAATGGTGGTCTTGACTGTGTGCCTGGCCGGTTTCGGGCGTCCTTCAGGGCCGTTCACGCCGGTCGCATCGTCACGCTTTGGCTTCGAAAAGAATAAAGTCTTATCCTGTCTCGATTTCTAGACAGAGCCGTGAGAATCTTGTCTAGAGTTGCCAACAGCCCGGTTAGGGCTGACCGCAGGTCTCTGAGGTGCCAGGTAGGGCCATCTGTTGGGTGCTGCAGTGTTACATCAGTGTCTGTCAACGTGGAGTGCGCTAAATGTGCAAGTTTCAGCTCACCTCTTTTTTGAAAGATTACCCTGCGCTGGGCTAGAGTTTCCACCTCTAATGATGCGTTTCTGTTTGTAATCTTTGTACTTGCTGTGGTGGCTAAGGGAAGCAGTGCTAGAAATTTGGCGTTGTGCAAGGTTTGTGACTACCCAAGCATGCTCCCGTGCAGGAATAGTAAGGATAGTGCCTGAGACAAAAAGGCCTTCTCTAGACTTTGCAATAAGTCATCAGTTTAGAGAATACCATGGCCGAATGGTGGGCTAGAATATGGAATCAAAAGCAGCAGAGGCCAGATTTGCTCGGCTAAGGTCTTCGGCCAGCTCAGTACATTTACCCAAACAGAATGAAAACCACTGGAATCCCTTGTAATGATGGCAACAGGTTGCTGTATGCATTCAGCATCGACCTTCATTATCTCGCAAGTGTATGGCAGGTGTGCAGTATTTGTGTCTTTCAGTTTGTTGCTAGGAAAAGTCTAATCTGAAGATACGGGTATTTCCCCATCTCCCCTTCAGTTTCAGGCAAACATTTAACACGGGCGAGTTCTTTGATGAAAAGAAAGATCACCAACAGAGAGCTAAGGTTTAAGGAAGAAGAACTTAATTTATGTGTGCATATGCAAAATTGATTGACTAGATAAAAAAGTTGAAGGCATGTATTTAGTCTCTTTCAGTAATAGGACACCATCATAAAGAAACATACTGAATCCTAGCTGTGTCTAATTTATTTGACAGCGCTGCTATGTATATCACACAGCAGCTAGCACCTAGATGTCCATATGCTGCTAGCATTACATACATATATATAATATATGTACAAAAGAAAACACTTTTTTCTCTGTCCTTTGGTGAACTGATTGCTCCTGCAGACCCAGTTTGGGGCTTTTTTTTTAACTTTCTACTTTTTTCAGTCCATCTTAGGTACTGATACAATTCTATACTTAAGTTTTTTCCCCTTGGTGTCGTATTCCATATTCTGTTACACCTGGGACCTGATCTTTTTTTGTCCTTGTCTTTAAGACACAGCAGCCAAGATGCTGACACTTCATGTTTTCCTGATTGTCTTCTCAGTGCTCATAATCGCTTCGTCTGAGAAAAATCAGTACTCTATTCCATGCTGCCTGTCGTTTCTTGAACATCTTTCCTATAACTACTAAGCGTCTTTCTCTTTAAATTATAAAAATAAATGTTAAAAGTATTTGAATAAGAAATACAGTTGAAAATAGTTTTACAGGTTTTTAAATCTAAAATATATGAATAACTAGTGCAGCTATGTATATTTGAACTGTCAGTAAATATGCCAGAAATGATTACATTAACTATGTTGTCCTAGATTTGTGAGCTACAGCCTGCTTCATACTTCCTCGTATAAGCTATGTCACCAACTGCTAGGGGTACGTTATTAAGACCCTGTGTTATGAATCCTTATTTACACAAATGCAGCTTTAATGAGGGAGACAGTTTAGTCATTCTCATGATGCAGAATTCTGAGAAAAATAAAGCTGCTTAATGTGAAACATTTTCAAAAACTTTATTTGATAAAGTGGACATTCAGCAATTGGAGTTTCCCAGGTCCTTACAGACTTTTACAACATCCAGAACTTGAAATAGCTTTAAAATAAGATTTCATGGGACATTACTGTTTATGCATTCGGTTCACTTATCTTCGCCTCCTCGTATGCATGAACGCTTACCTCTGTACATTTCAAGATGTACTGAGGAAAACCGTATTGTGCCTCACCTCGTATTTACCGTGTTGGCTACTAATTAAATCAGGTGGTATTCTCTTCCCCAGTCTATCTACTTGCCGATATGACCTTGGGCAAATCACTTAGTCACTTATTGCCCTTTTTGCCTGTTCAGATGGCTAAGCCTAAGCCTGGGCTATGGGTTATTTCTTGTATTATTACAGTAAAACAATTTTTTTACAATTTCCAAATAAGAGATGAAGTGAAACAGAAGAAAGTGAGTGTAGGTAACACTTTTAACATTAAAAATGTTTTTGGCAATGAATCAAACTTGATTCATTTAAAACTGGAACTGTTGACATTTCTCTGCAATTTTTTTATGTGAAAGGAACTCTAATTTTAAGAGTACTTAGAGGGGTTTAAAGACAGCATTATTTTAAACATGGAAATGAGATGATAGAAAAGTGAATTAAGAAAAACTTCTACACTGGGAAAACTCATAAATATCCTGTAGTCCAGCTGATCCTCTATTAACAAAATATATAAAACGGGTGTTCCATCGGAAGGGATTGTGAAGCCTTGTTGTAAAGGGACATAAACATCTGGCAATACACCTGGTCTCTACACATATTTATAAATCACCTCAGGCGTCCCAAGGTACCGTAGAGAACACACACAAAAATTGAACTAAGAACATTCATAAGCCAAGGAAAATAAAAATGGTCTCAATTTAGTATGGAAAGAAAAAAATCTCATTTACTGCATAAACACAGTTTGGGAAGACATCGTGCAATTTTGCACTTCTTGCACCTTTGCACCTGCTGACTCTCATTTATATCCTCCAGGCAACAAGCAAGCCTGAAGGCCTTTGGCTCATAACCAACGCTGACATTGCAATGTGGTGCTACGGGAGCGCCTGCAGCTCTGATAGAGGTTCTGCTCCAGACCTTTTCCGCTCGCCTCTGAGCTCCTGATAGAACTTTAAGGTTTCATAGTCTGTTTTAAAAAGGCTTGTGTGGTGAGTCTCCCAGTACTGCTTGTTACTATTCAAAATAATAAAAGATGGAGACAAAGTCATCTTCAAGAGATGGATTAATATATAGCAAGTTGCGCTGCAGATGCCAGCTTTGTCTGAGCCTTGAAGTGTGTTCATTTTATTCATTTCTGTCGCTTGAATTATGCTATATGTTTTTGGAAACCCTTCTTAAGGAGAGTCCAGGAGGAAGAGTGAAGAGCGTGAGGTGACAAAAGTCAGAGATGACTGTGTGACGATGAAGTCCAGAGCCGTGCATTTAAATGTTAACATCTTGCAGTTATACTGTGGAACCTGCTGCAAATTTGGCCCTTAATACTTCCTCCTTGTTCCTCCTATAACACAATTTTCTGTGTTTTCTCTGAATTGTCAAGTACTGCTGTACCAATTACC